AGAAAAGAAAATAAGAAAAAAAATAGAAAACAATATGAAGAAATAGACAAACGTAGGACGAAAAGAAGAAAGTGAAAAGGGCGGAAAAGAAGGTGAAAGGAGTGAGAGAAGAAGAAGAAAGAAAAGAAGGAGAAAGGAAGAAAAGCAAGAAGAAACAAATGAAAGAAAAATGAGTTATAAGAGAAGAAGGGGAGAAAAATGAAGATGAATAAGAAGCAAAAAGAAATGGTGAAAGTAGATAGGGAGAAAAATAGGAGAAAACAAAAAAGATAAAGTAGGAAACAGAACAGAATTTGAAAAAAAAATTATTGATTTGTTATTTTTACGGCTTTTTAACCATTTCTAGATTATTTAAAGTCGAAATATATATTAGGAGTGTAAGAATAATTGGTTCTTTTTTTGTAAGTGTACTAACAGTTTTTGAAGATAATAATAATTTTTAGATACAAGTCTTATTATTTAACCCATATCTGGGGTTGAGAAAGGTAGATTCATATTTTTCTCAAGCGTATTTGAGTGTAAGCGAATCTAACGAGTAAGGCTGGAATTCGAACTCGGATCTCCGATTTCTCATTCCGAGTCGTTATCCAATACATTACCAGCACATCGAAGCTCACAGCAGCCAGTATTCCCAAGCGGTCACCCATCTAAATACTGACTAGGCTTGACATTGCTTAACTTAGGTGATTCAACAAGAGAATGAAGAGAAGAAAAAGAAGAAAGAAAAGAAATTGAAAGAGCAGAGAAGTGAAATAAGACGGCGAGAGTGGAAAAGAAAGAAACGAAGAAAGTGGAATATGAGAAGTGGGGAAGAAGATGAAAGAAAGAAAGAAAGAAAGAAAGAAAGAAAGAAAGAAAGAAAGAAAGAAGGAAAGAAAGAAAAATGCTGGAAGAGAAGAAGCTGAGAAAAAGTGTGAAGAAAAAAAGAGTGGAAAGATGAGATGGCAACAGGTCATTGCAAATGGCGAATATATAATTGATATTGAAAATATAATTGTGATTCATTTTTTGAAGAATATAGTTCATAAACAAAAACGGAAATTATTTATGACTCAACCTAATATTTATGTGTGGATGAAAGTGTCGCTGCTGTCCTTCTGCCAAACTTTTTATTTGCAAGTTAATTTTACTGTGTAGTTTAAACAGCAGAACGTTGGCGTAGAGAATGTGTTACTAGGCTGCTTTTCTGCAAAAGGGACGTTCGAATCAGAACAAGATACTTGCTATTATTCTGATGCTTAGTCATTTGTTAAGACTTTGGGTAAGAGGTTTCGGCCGAAAATTTTTCAACATCACGTCTTGGAGAAAAAGAGAAACAAAGATATATAATCACAAATAAGATATGTACAAAGGCAATGGAATGTTTTTTGAGAATAAAGAGAAAGAAAAGAGAATAGTAAATATTGGTCGTTTATTGGGTTGGTGCATAATTATCAGGCGCTTTTGTAGGCGAGTTTTTTTTCTTAATAAAGATTGCTGTTTTGTTTACTTTTTTAATAAAAATATTATTTTATTTTCAGGTTATAAAAGTGCCTGTCAATAATCATACACCCCGGAAGAATCATTTAAAAATGTTATTGTTGAATTGTAATGTTTCTTTTTTCATAATAAATATTGTTTAACAAACACCTGATAATTATGCACCAACCCAATATATTTGAGCCTGTAATCATTTACTTGGTAGGTGGCTCCTGTTGGGAGGTCTTACCTCTCATTATGGTATGCAGTTGCTGACAGGACGGGCAAGAGAAGAGAAAGATGAAGAGGAAAAAAAAAAGAAAAGAAAAGCATAAGATCGGTAAAATGAACGAAAGAAAAAATAAACCAGAAGAGAACAGACAAGAAGAATAAAGAAAAAACAAAAACAAAAAAAAAACCTACAAAACAGCGTAAGTTTTTTTAAAAGGGAATTCAAATTACAGATTTGATCCAGACGCCAAGACTGACCACAGAACATCGTTAGGGAGTTACCCATATCTCTATGTTGCAAACATGAAATTTTGATTTATCGGAATATTCTATATCACCATCATTACGGAACCTGTGTACACCAGCAATATTTAAATCACGATTTCTTAAATCATGAAAAAATATAGGTCAAAGTTAAGAAAGATTATAATAGTAAACTTGACATTGGCAATATTTCCCGAAGACTTCATTTCGTCGGTTCTGTCTAGAAACAAAGAGAATATTGTGATTCTGCAATATCTCAGCTGTTTCTATTTAACTGAAATGCAGTCGAAATCAACTTTTGGAATCATAATTGAACTCGTGCTTCGAATAATCAATCATTTTCACGAGGCCAGCCGATGTCTCGACGACGACGACGACGACGATGGCAGAGTTGAACTTCTGGACTTGCGTTGAGGGAGAAGTGTCGGCTGGCATTTGTGATATTTTGTTAGATGCAGCCGATAGTGACGAGCGCGCGTCCACATGATAATTACTTTGGAACGTCGCTGATTTTCAGAGAAGAAAATCTTTGTCGGCTATCGGAGCTTTTGACGCTTGTGGACGTTTTCTTTTATGTAAACATGTCCTTTCACGATGTTGGCGATCATAGTTCTCCATAACTTCTTTTATTTTATGACTTTAAGTAACTTTGACCGTCCCTCTTTGTTCTTGATCTGATATCTATTGACGTAAATTAGTAAAGTAGGTTGTTTTTCTCTGTCTTACCTGTCTTCAATATGCCTTGTGAGTATTAGAATTTACAAGCATTTTTCCACCATTTTACGTCACAGAAATTTCAACTGCTTCTTTATGAGAAGTATAAGTGTCCTTTTAGTCCCTATTTTAAGAAAATTCTACTTTCGACTAAACGTAAAAGAAAGACGCTAGTAACTTTTAAACACACCTTTATATAAAATGTGTGTGTGTATGATAGATATATGTGTGTGTGTATCATTAATTCAAATATAAAATTTGCCACTTAGATGATTGATGTTATCTATCTATCTATCTATCTATCTATCTATCTATCTATCTATCTATCTATCTATCTATCTACACACACTACAGTCCTAAAGATTGAGGTGTCATCTGCTAATTTTTTTTAAATTGGCTGAAAAAGTACTTTTTTATTTTAGAGAAAATTATTATACATGGTTAAAAAAAAAGTGAGACATGATTTTTTATTAGAAATTTTATTACGACAAAAAAAAGAAGCATTTTATGATTTGATTTTGCTCTTGTCAAAATATCCTCCTTTAGCCTTGATTATTGAAGCACAAATTTTTGGCATTCGTTGTAAAAATTTCTCAAAATTAAATTGATTACATTATTTTTTCAATAGCCCTAAAAACTCTTTTTCATTTTTTTTTTCACTTTTCTCTCAAGTTCATCCTATGCTAATTCTGGGAGCGGCTCCAAACTTTTGAACTGTTGTGTATACGCGTGTATTAGGATTAATACAAATATTAAATTTCACTTTTAAATGATATATATATATATATATATATATATATATATATATATATATATATATATATATATATATATGGTGCAAAAATAATGACGTAATAATGTCGTTTTTGAGGTTAAAAATACGTCACAAAACGACATTATTACGTTATTATTTTGCACCAACCTAATATATATATATGTAGCTAGATAGATAGATAAATGGTGTATGTATGCAGTGTTTTTTCATATATGTAAGTTTGGTTTCATACCAATAAAAAGTCCTTGTTACTTATTACGTTTTAATCATTTCTTGAATGTGCCTGTATATTTTTGGGTTTCCGGTACGTATTTGAAAATATATTTTAATATTTCTGAGCACTTTACAAAAATCTAACGCCAAACGATAAGAAAATATAATACACAAGAAAACATTTTTAAATGAGAACCTGAAATTAAAAAAAAAATCAGGTACACTGAAAAAATAAATTCAAAAATAATTATCAAGAATGTTATCATCGTTATCATCTAACCAAACTTTATATATATATATATATATATATATATATATATATATATATAAAACAAATAGATAGGTTAGTTGATAAAACAAGAACAAACGAAAGGGTACAAATATAATCAGTACAATAAACATTTATTAAATATTAACCATATGACAGATACAAAGCACGGTGAGAAAGGTTTTATGTTCCAGATTTTTGGGACACGCCTGTATCCTTCATCAACGGACCAAGGAATAAACAGAGAAATGGGAATTATTCACCGACAGATTTTGTAATTATATATATATATATATGTATATATATATATATATATATATATATATATATATATATGTGTGTGTGTGTGTGTGTGTGTGTGTGTAATATTTAGCGCATTATTTTATATTGTTTTATCTAATGTCTAATTATTATAGAAAGATTACTTTCGTATTCAGAGAATTTGTTTTATTTTGTATCTTCTAATACAATTTCTGTTAATTGGCAGAGAGAATAATATAATATTCACAGCATTATTTTATATTTTATCTCCTAATGTCTAACCTATTGAGTGATAAACAGAATTCTGTAATATTCAGAATATTTTTTTCTTTTATCTTTCGATGTACGATCTATTCACCATCTCGTCACATATATTGTATGACAGCGTATCAAGTATTTGTTTTCAGTTTCGTAGCTTTTTTCCTCCACCCCCACATCCACCAATTTCAACCAACGAAATTTTCATCTTTCTTTTCTACTATGAGATTTTTGCGTCACTTCTCTCTCATTCGTTTTGTTTTCTTCTTTTTTTTTTCTTTCGTTCATAATTTTCTCTCATTCATTTACTGCATTCATATTGATTCATATTGATTTCTGTAATAAAGAAATGTTTTGAATGAAAACAAAACAAAGAGACAAAGAATGTAATGCGCCTTTTGTTAAAAAACAAAAACCAATGAAAAAGAACGACTTTAAATTTTCTGTTTTTATTCCGTCATAGTTCCTTCATTACCATATTCGATGAGAAGAGAAATAAATCTAGACGATATTTAAATAATGTGTGCATCCTGGATTTATAAAATGGAAATAAATTAATTAATGAAAAAAGTAAGAGAAAAATAAAATAGTGAAGTAATCGAAGGGAGAAGAAAAATGAAAGTAGACAGCGTGAAATAAGCGTGAAGAGAGAGAGAGAGAGAGAGAGAGAGAGAGAGAGTATATAAAAAGAGAGGAATGGGTAAGGAGAGAAAAGAAAGAAAATAAGAGAAACCAAAGAGGGAGAAAAAAACAGCGTAAAAAGAAAACGAACTTAAAAGAAAAGTGAAGGAAAAAAAGGGAAGAAGGAGAAACGAGAGAAAAAATAACCACAGTGAAAAAAGGTATGGGAAAAATAATGAAAAGAAGAAAGGAGAAGTGAAAGAATAAATGAAAGATAAGAAAAAGAAAGAAAGGAAAAAAGAGAAAAGTAAAAAGAGAAAGAAAACAAGTAAGAAAAAAAGCGAGGAAGGAATAAATTGGAAAACAAGAAAGAAAAGCGAGGAAAAAGGGAAGAAAACTGACAAGAAAGAGAAAAGAGTTTATATAAAAAATAACAGCGAAAAATAAAAAAAGAGGAATATGAAAAGTGATAGAAAAGAGAGAAAGAAAGAAAGAAGAAAAATGTGAAAGTAAAAAGGAAAGGAAAGATGGAAAGAAAAGAGAAAAAAAAATAAAATGAGCAAAAAGGAAAGAGAACAAGGAAAAAAGACGAGAGAGAGAGAAAGAGAGAGAAGATGGATGTAACAGAGGAAAGAGAAAGTGAACAGAGCGAAAAATCAGAGGAAATCGAAAAGATAAAGGAGAGAAATGAAGGATAAAAGAAAACGGGGGAGACGGAGAGAGAGAGAGAGAGAGAGAGAGAGAGAGAGAGAGAGAGAGAAAGGAAGATAAAAAAAAAAGAAAAAAAAAAAAAAGAAATGAGAAAAGCAGAGATCGACTTACAGAGAATAATTTTCAGTTGATTTCTTTAATATGAAAATTCTGCTCGGAATATAAAATGTGATGGGGTTCAAAAGTTAATCGACTGTTTTCAGTTCAGAGAACGATAATTTTTAATTATGAAGAAATCGATCCGGATAAAATTTAATAAAAAGGAACTAACGTTGTTTCAAAGATGAATCCAAGGGAGAAATATGGCTTATTTAAAAAAGAATAGAAAATGAAAAATTGTTTTCTGCATTGACCAAAATGGAAGAAGGCATTTTTTTTTAAATAAATTGAACGTTATCATTTTAATACCCCATTTTTATGCAAGTTCCTTTTATGAAGAAAAATGTGTGCCATATTTAGATCAGGACCAAAAGCAAGAAGAAAAATTCGGAAAATGTCGACCAATAAAGATCGGGAACAGAACAAAGTAGAAAATGAAGAAAACGAAAATAGAAGAAAAAGAAAGACTATTTTTTAAAAAGAGCAATAAATCCGAGTGGGAAATGTAGTCCTAAAACTAAACTATTAAGAAATAAGAAAATACCGTTAGAAACAAAGAAAAGAGTGTTGAACTGCTGCGTACACGAACGTTTATTTGAACTAAAATTCACCCCAGACCTATTCGTGCCATCACTAAAGATGCGGGAATGCCACTAGTATGCAGGGTGGGGGTGGGGGGGTTACAGGGAGTGAAAATGAAAGAAAAAACCGGTTATAGGGGGGATTAAGGAAAGGATAAAAGATGAACGGGATTTAAGAAGATAGAAAATGGCGATTGACGTTAGATTTAAATTTTTGAAGATTGTAGTTATCAGGGAAGCAAGTAAACGGAAAAGAGTTCCACGGGGGGAAGTGTGAGAAAAGAAACTGTTGGAGTAGAAGTGGTGGTTACATTTAACTATTTCGACATTAAAAGAGTGGGACCTAGATGCCAATCTAGTAGCACACTTAAATTCATGTAGTCGAGGCACCAGGTGAAAAAAAGCTCGTCAGAGTAGTTACCATGAAAATATTTGTAGAAAAGACAGAGGGAAGTCACATCACGTTTGCGAGAATATGACTGAAGTCGAGAAGCCAAGTCAAGATCGATTACATTGCAGATCCTTCTGTGGATTTTGTCAAGAGGCTCGAAATGAATAGGAACACCAGACCAGATATGGCAACAATATTTACTGCATGGACGAATGGTAGATTTGTAAATATGCAAAATGGACTCTGACGAGAAAAACCTTCTGGCATGACACAGTGACCTAACTTTCCTTGCAGTAGATGCAGCTATTGATTCAATGATGGGTGGCAGGAAAATTTCACTATGGTGGTTAAAAGAGTGAAGTTTCGTTTTGAAGGCATTTAAATTTACAAACCATTTCCTACCCTTGTAAACTACTGATTGGCGGTCCTTTTCTTGAGTAACGGCTAGGTTAACTTTTGTCAGCTCTGACGGATTTGCTATTGACACAGGAGTAAATGGTAGTGTCATCTGCATAAATGCCTACTTGGGAACTGATGATATCAGAAAGATCATTGAAGAAGACCAGAAACAGCGCAGGATCCAGGATAGAGCCTACTGGGACACCCGCGTTCGTGTGAAAGGATCCAGAATCGATTCCCGTTCAAAACGACCTTTATTTCACGACAATAGGAAAGATTGGATTAAATCAAACAATCCTCCTGTAATACTGTAGCCCTGGAGTTTACGGAAAGGGCCAGCGTATCATTCCCTGTCAAATACCTTTGAGATAGATAGAGCCACAAGTCGAGCTTCGCCGTTATTATCAAGAGCTTGATGCACATATTCAGTGCTGCCTGTTAGGACGTCAGCAGTAGACCTAGAAAAACGGAAGCTATATTGTAGGTCGTATGAGGTAAGATGCTTAACCACATCAGCATTGATTAAATCCTCGAATACTTTGCCAAAAAGCGGTAGGAGACTAATAGAGCGATAGCTAGAGGCGTTAGAAATTTCTCCAGAGTTCTTAAAAAACAGGAACTACCGAGGTGGACTTCCAAGTTGGAAAGCAGGAAGTAGCGAGGCAATAGTTGTAGAGTTTGGAGAGAAGTGGAGCAAAATCGGGAGCACATTTCTTTAGGACGACGGCTGAGATTCTGTCACCTCCGCTTGACTTATGGGAGTCTAATTTAGAATTGATGTCCAAGACCAGTGACGGAGTTATGTGCATGTCACTCAGTAGAGCCTCTGGTCTAGTAGTGAAAAGATGTGCGGATACTCCAAATGAGTCGAGTATTGAGTTGGAAGAGAATCTCCGAGCAAAGCATTCAACGATATCTGCTGTAGATGTCAGGGCTTTGTATTTATTGAATAGAGGAGGGATTGAGGATTTGTTGTTGTTCAGCACACTCTTGCAGAGCTGCCAATAATCTCTAGAACTGAACTTGCGAGATGCTATACATTGTTTCATTCTATCAGCAAACAGTAACTTCACTTCTTTGAGGACACACCTGCACTCGTTACGAACAAAGACAAAGAGACGTCTGTTACAATCGGACGTGTCGCTCAGGTACATCCGGAAGAAGTGATTCCTGTGAGCTATAGCGGCCGAGCGTGCAGGTGAGAACCAAGGAGATGAACACGGTTTAACTTGGTATTTCCTTGCTGGAATGAAAGCACCGATACCGGCTTTCAACCAAGAGGAGACCACACACGCGCACTTTTGAACAGGATGATTCGAAACTTCATTCTAAGTGACTGTCATGAAGGAAATCACGAAACGGGTCCCAATCCGCTCGTTGATGACAGAAAGATGCTGGAAGAATGGCCGATTCCTTGTATCACTCCTGAAAAACACCGTATAGCCTCTCACGATTCTGGATCTGGAGATTACTGGAAGCCCTGTAAGAGTATGCTAAACAAGAGTAAATCCTCACGCCGTCCACTTTCCAATCAATTTGACGTATTGTCATATACGAGTCAGTCGACCCAGTACTTTCTGAGCGACTGTTCGGTTGAATTCTCTTCCTACGGACGGGAGGAACCCGAAGGAGGCTACGCCGAAGGGCGGAGTCTCCTTCGGGGAGGTAGACCGGCCCTGAACCCGTTTATACGGGTTCAATGGGCATATTTTTGGCCGAGCCCACGGGCTCGGAATGCCTACGTTAAAAAGGTCTTGTGCCACATGACACCCTCGTGTGTGTGTGTGTTGGTGACTGAATATCGTCATATACGGTTGATAAACTAATATGCTTCTCCCGGAAATTATCTTCCAATTCCATTCTCCACTCTTCAGGAGTATCTTTGCCTTTTTTTGTCCTACCAAGAACGGAATATTTACACAGTAATATGCACATAAGTTCGTACATGGTTTATGTTATAATCTTAAGACAAGACTTGCAGTATTAACAGTATCTATGCAATTGTCCTACAGAAATGTGGTCCTGAACTGGCTCCTGTCATCTCCAAATTCTACAATAAATTCCTTGCCGCTTCTTTTTTTCCCTCCGTATTTAAGAATTCTGGTGAACCTTCTGACCCCCGAATTATTGAGCTGTTAGTCTTTTATATATATTTTGGCAAAATACGAGAGGCTCTATTCAACATCAAATTAGTTAAACATCTCGCTTCACACGGCATTCTTTCGGAATAACAATAAAGCGTTTGTTTCTCTAAGCTTACATCCGGTGTGTTAGTGATTACTGCTTAATTTTTTTATCTGGCTTTAGATAAGAACGTCGAAGCTCGAATTGTGGCTTCAGATATCTCGAAGGCATTCAACAAGGTTTGACATGTTGATCTTCTATGAAATGTTAGTGTTATCTCGACTTCAGTCAGTTTACTACCGCCGTCACATGGCTTCACACTGTATTTTTTTTATAAATATTTTCATGGCAATTGTTCTGATGAGCTTTTCTTCTTGGTGCCTTGACGGCATTAATTTAAGCCTACGACTAGATTGGTAATTAGGTCTCATACTTTTATTGTTTCACTAGCTTGATGTAACCGTACGTTCGATTCTAATAGTTTATTCTCTCGCACTTCTCGCCTCTGGAACTCCCACCCGGTTCCTTGCTTTCCCTGCCACCTACAATCTTTAAAAATTTAAATGCAACATCAATCACTATCTTCAGCCTTCCCGAAACCTGTTCTTTCTCGACATTAATGTCTTATAATTTTCTTTCACCCACAGTAAGCCCTTGCAATTTAGTGATATTATCGCCTTGCTTGAGATGAAACGATAAAAAACGACTACTTTCATGATTTCTCATCACAAGTGTTAGACCAAACCAAAAATAGAGTATTGCAGTCACATCTGGACAGGGGCTACCAATTCCTCACTGTCCAGCCTTGACAGAGTTCAAAAGTGGCTTTGGGAGTGATGAATTATTTTCCATCGGGCAACAGAGGAAACATTGCTACCCTATCGCAATATATATAGAAAATGTTCAGATAAGTTTCATCCCTTAGAAACTTTCATATTACGTACGCGGCGTCAACACATCCATATTCCTTTGGTTTAAGAAGAAATTCCACTCAGCTTCATGTCCATAACTGTCACTTCGTCAAACAGACTCTCGACCACTACCGTTATTTATCCTTCATATTCTTGTACTATGCACATCTTCCTCCTCTCTTTAGGCCCTTACAAAAATCTCATTCAATAACCCTCTACCTTAAGTGGCACTTGGGTCTTATATACTTGGTGAACAATAGTATAAAAATATCTACTCTCATATAGCATCTAATGTTGACCAATCACGTAGATGAAAAAGAGACTTGAATTTACTGTGGGTAACTTTGCGATCAAGGCACTCTCTAGACAATTTCGTCGTAATGAATTGTCTTCTGCTGATCAAAGTAGCATTTTTTATGTCAAAATTATGATCAGAATCGTTTTGACATTAAATTGCTACTCAGAGTAAATTTATGCCCGGGCTCTTATAGCATTTCACTATTCTTGGTAGAACTTCTATTATTACAGTGTGGGACATTTACTAACAAAAGTGATGGAAAGAAAAAGAATCGGCTAGATTTACAAAAAAAAAAAAAAGAAAAAAAAGAAAAAAATTAAAATTTCCAGCATCCCTCGTTCAAAGGACGAAACGCGTCAAGAGAAAACTTTTTTCCACTTTGTCATATATTTTTCACAATATTGTTCTTGATATATGAAAATATATATTCCTATCTTATTAACCAAGTTTGTGAGAATGGATGGCAAAACATGGACAAAAAAAGAATGGCAATGGATGAAAAATTGTTTAGAACAACAAAAGATAGATATTTGAGGAGAGATATGATCGACTCTGACTTGGTACATAAAAAGGAAGAAAGAGTGAACGAAGAAAAAGCGTGTCGACTCCAGAAATTAAAAAAGAAGAATATTAAAGCAATACAGTAATAGGAAAAAGAAAATAAAAGAAATAATCCGAATACAAAAAAAGAAAAAAAGAAAAAAGAGAAAAACAAAGATAAAGAAAGAAAATTAAGTATGCAGTTTAATCCAGTAGACTTCCCTGAGGAGCATAGGCTTACAATCTCCATTCAAGGTGTTATTATTGATGTTAACTATATAGACACCTCTGTAGAACAGACCGCTACAGCCTCACAACACGAGATGTTGATGGTGTGGTTTCTCTAACAACTACGGTTTTACGAGGGTGAAGTTGCTCCCCACACACCCAACTTGTTTGGAATTCAGAGTTGTTGCTCTCCGGGACTATTTGACAACGAAAGCTAGGAAGCCCAGTCTACCCTGTTATTAACCCCTAGCTAAGGGAAGAATAGATGTATTCATAACTTACCAATGGTATTTATGCGAAAATGAACGCAACGGTCTCGGGTAAAATTTGAACTCATCACGCCATACCCACTTACAGCGCGGAAAAACCGTTATGCCACGCGCACAAAGAAAAAAAAAATTGAAGGGAATAAGAGACTTAAGAAAAAGAAAGAAGTTATTAACAGTAAAAAACATTAAGAAAGGCACCAACAACAATATTAACCTGTATTCTCCTAGCATCATTTTAAACAGACGCTATTATTTTTCATATATTATGACCATGTTGTTGAAAATACGCATTTGTTTGATTTCAGACGAAAACGTGGAATTTATTCAACATTTTTAAGTAAAATTTCCACCGTTCAAAATTATAGTTTGTAATTATATTTTAGATATATGAAAAAAGGTTTAAACTGACGCCAATGTGGATATGAATTATGACAAAGGATTTGTTTCTAGCCAGAAGTAGAGAGAATTATTAAAAAAAAAAAAGAATAAGCTAAAGGAAAATAAATAAATAAAAACATGAAAAGAAGGAATAAAAGTAAAACATAAGAATTATTGTGCAAAAATATACAAAGGAATGCAAAGAGCGGATGAAGAAAACATTCAGAGAGAAAAAGAGAAGAAGATAGGCTAAAATTGCGCCGGGTGCATAAGGAGAGAAAAGAATAGAAAGAGGAAGGAGTGAGTGAGATAATTAGAGGGAAACACAAGAGGGAGAAGTAAAATAAAATTAAAGAGATGGGAATAGAAAGAAAGTAGAGAGCGAAAAAAGAAAGAAAGAAAATAGATGAAGGTAAAGAGAAAGAAAAGAAAAGAAGGAAGAGAAAATTAAATGTAGAAAGGAATCTGAAAAGAGCGACGAGAAAGGAAAAAAAAAGAAGAAAGAAAATCAAAGAAAAGAATTAAAACGAAAAGAATTAAAACGAAGCGAAAAAAAAAGAAAATAGAAATATGTCGAAAGAATGAGAAAAGACAATGAAAGAAGAGAGGGAAAAGAGAAAAAGAAAAGAAAAAGTTATCGGGAGAAAAGAGAGAAAATTGAAAATAAACGGAAAAAGTGAGGAAAAGAAAGGAAAAGAGTGATAAGAGAGAGAGAGAGAGAGAAGGAAAATAAAGAAGAAGGTGAAAAGAGAATATATAGTAGTCAAAAGACAATAAAAAATAGACAAGAAAGAAAAACATACAAAAGACAAAAGGTAAGAGAATGGAAGGAAAAGAACACGGTGTCAAATGAGAGAGAAACAAGAAAGAGAAGAACGCAGAGAATAGAGAAAACAGGTGGAAAGAGAAAGAGGTCAAAAGAGAAAGGAAAGAGAAAATAAATATATAAGAAAGACGAGAGAGAGAGAAAGATAATGAAAAGAGAACAAAAAGAGAGAAGCACAGAGTGAAAGAGAGAAGCACAGAGTGAAAGAGAGAAGCACAAAGTGGAAATAGAAGAGAAATAGAATAAAATAAAATGACAATTAAAAAATGAAAGAAAGAAAAAAGCAGCCACGAAAATTCTGAAAGCAATTCGTTTATGGCGGAAATTGAGAGAAACACATTTTGGTTGTCATAGAAATTCTCCGTCTACGCAATTACTTCTTGCCCCCAATCCCGCGCGAACACGTGTTGACAACCCAATGCGAGATTTTCTAAAATAATAACAGATTGAAATGAAATAATAAAATTATTAAAAAAAAAAATAATGTCCCATCTGTGATTAATTTATCATTGAATGTTTTTCGTTTTTCCTATCTCTAAGCTGGACACCAACCACCTTATCTCTTAGACCTCGACTTAACCATATGGCTATAATCAATGGAAGAGAATTATCTTATGGTCACTCTCTTTAACAAGACAAAAAGTAACTATAAGCAGAAGAAAATCGATACTGTCACAAGATTTCTTTAACTAAAGAAAAACACAGCTATTGAAAAAGAAGTAAAAAGAAGCAGACGACATCATTTTTTCTTTCTACCATGTAAAATCTATTGCTAAGTAATATCAATAGGAATAAAATAAAATAAAAAATAATTCGATCTTTCTTTTTATTTCTCCAGTTGTAACTCCTAATGGGTGTTCAGAACACTGGTAATTTTTTTTAAATTTTATTTCTTTTATGTTGTTAGTTGAAAAAAAGAAAAGATAAATTTATATTAAAAAATAGACAAGAAAATCAGATGTTAATACAAATCGAAAAACTTCATTGAAAAATAGAGTACGACACATTTTTTAAAATTTTATCGACATCGACGTTTTACGTAAAAATAAAACAAGCCACCAATAATCTATCAATGATAAAGCTAGGCTGAGTTTCGATTTGAGAAACAAAACACGCCAAGATTACAAAAAAGGAAGAAAACAAGAAAGGAATTTAAAAAAAAGAAAAGAAAAAGAAAACATGCACAAAATGTAATTTCAAGGCAACCGCTTACCATTGAGACGTGGCAGTATTTAGCCATTATTTAAAATATAAACCAACTGTAAACCTACGATCGAGTCGCTCGTGAAGTTTTTCATCAACTGGTCAGCTTTTGCCCCACATCGTGTTTCATTTCCCGTTTACCAAACTGTGAAGCAAACTGGGAATGACCCGGTGAACGTTCAACATTGAAATATCACACGGGGAAGAAAGTCGCGAATATGGCCGTCTAGAGATGCCTTGATGAGAAAGACAATAAATCTGTTGGTTCCGATCAATAGGGTTCGGTTCACTTGGTATTATGTGAGGGTAGACAGTCCAACCTCTTTGATCCGGAACCTTCGGGACCAGGCCATTGCCGGACCACAGGAAATGAGGAATGACAGAAATCACGCCCAAATTATAGAATTATCATTAATGTTTCTAAACAAAGTTTTTTTTAATTGTTTTATGCAGTCCAAAGGCTAAGAGAAAGCCTAAAATAATAAAAATAATAATATATAATTATTATCTCGGATGGGTAAATTTGCAGCTATAAATAAGAAATGAGCAAGATCGTATCAACAAAATACTCTGCTGTAAGGTTGTAAACAACGCTGTTCTTGAAGCTGCTCAACAAATTAATGGAGGCCGATGAAAAAAAAAAAAATTGCCGGAGCAGTAAGTGCCGGATTAAAGATGGCTGACTGTTTTCACCCACGACAAAATAACGAAGCAGAACTTCCTTTCAGCCAACGAGAACTCCCGTCTAACTAGGGATGATCTTATATAGAAATCGACCTGACTATATAAGTCCATGACCGGAATTGCTTAACTTCCGGTCGAGTGTTACTTGGTTCCCAAAGTTTTAATTTATTTATACATTTTATTTCCTTTTTTCTATTATGGACAGCGGGTGGTTGCTTTGAGACTCTCACATCTCGTTTTTACATTGAAACATCCATATCCACATTTTATAATAGGTTGTCATAAAACCCACCAGTCGCTCCAGGACAGATACAATCGTTTATATTCCACTTGACTACATGGGTGACTTAACCAATCGGCCGTGACCTCATTATGCTACACAACGGTCTAAATTTTGCCTATCTAATCTAACAATAAATACATTAAATATGAAACATACGTCCAAAGGAACAAATACGAAACTGATACTTAGGAATATGGAATGTAGACTCTTACTGTTGATCTATAACATGTTTTCAATTTAAAATAAAAAATAATGATTTTAGCATTACGAAAGGATACTGAAATCCTGTCGGTCTGGTAGTTTTCCTTAAATCTGACCAAATATCAGAATTTTTTAAAATCTCTTTTTGGTTGGACTGAGAACTTTTCAGTATATCCTCGGCCTAATTAACATATTTTTTTTAAAAAAAAAAGAAATTTATCGACGCGAAAATTTAAATTGTCAGGCCGAGTTCAAATTGAAACTGAATATGTTGCGATCATTTTCGAAACAAATTCCCTTGGTGAAAGGCATGGCTCCATTTCGTCTTCTGACTCCTATCTGTTCAATAGCAGGATAAATTGTGCTCTCTAGTCTTGAGTGGCAACCAGTCTAGGAGAAGAACAACTTTAAACGCGAAAACCATAACTAATGATCTTGAAAGAAATTTATCTACGATGATCATAAAAGTAATCACAAGGGCTTCAAAAAGCAGCTAAAAATATAACCAATGTAAAACAGCATCAGTTTTATATCAGAAACGAGTGTCTAGAATGTAACCAATGTTTTATATCAGAAACGAGTGTCTACTAAATAGAATGTAACCAATGTTTCTACTCCAAAGAAAGCGATGAGACATCTCGAGATTTAAAGAAAATAAGGTACAAACAGAACATTTAACAACAAACTCAATGCACTTAGCATGTCATCAGAATTTTCATGATAACAATTTTGACCAGGAAAATACCTTTTTAATAAACATTTAATATAATTTACTCAAAGATGGATTGAAAATGCCTAAAACTTCAAGTACCCAAATTTATCGCCACTTTTTAATAAATTGGTGCTGAGACAAAAGAGGCTGCGTAAAACTTGAAAAAACGAAAATAAATAAATGAAAATAAAAACTGAATTAAAATGAGTTCAAATGCAATTTTTTATAACAATACAATTAAATAAAACAATCAAACATATAGCCGATGAATATGGATCATGTTTTTCCTCGACTATGTAAATTTTATTCTGCTAAATAAAATTATTTTTCCAATGACGTCGGTTCATTGGCGAATAATTATAGAAGTTTTCCAAATTATCTTGCACATTTATAAATTTACCATTAGTCTGTGCATTGAATACTGCTGCCATATCTGGCCTGGTACTCCTGCTATTCATCTTGAGGTTCTTGACAAAATCCAAAGAAGGATCAGCAATGTAATCGATCCTGACTTGGCTTCTCGACTTCAGTCACTTTCTCAACGACGTGACGGGGCTTTCCTCTGTCTTTTCTACAAATATTTCCATGGCAATTGCTCTGGCGAGCTTTTCCCCTTGTGCTCTGACTGCATGAATTTAAGTGTGCCACTAGACTGGCATCGAGGTCCCACCCGTTTACTGTTGAAATAGCTAAATGCAACCGCATTAAAACGTTTAAATAGGTCATGGTCTGGTCACTCCTCCTCCCCCAATATTAAGTATGTTTGAGAGAAATATTAAATTAAACCCTCTCTAAACTCTACCATGTCTCTCTAACCACTGATTATTACATTCTCTGTTAAATTACAAAAACTTACACTACCCATCAATTTTCGATTTCATCTTTTGGAAGTGCTATCTGATGATTCGGCGTCCTTAAAAAGGGCTCTGGCAAAATAAATTATTATAATGGAACCTTCTGTTTTTCTTTAATATATATATATATATATATATATATATATATATATATATATATATATATATTATTTAAGAAAAACAGACCACTTTATATATATATATATATATATATATATATATATATATATATATATATATATATATATATATATATATATGTTATTAAACCACAAGTTACCTAAAACGAAATTCTTTGATTTTTCCATTTCTAAGACAAAATCATTGTAAAACTTGATGGGATGTTATTTTTGCATTTCTTTTTAAATTCCAATCTGACCAATCATTTTTTTTTTATTTTAACATGTTTATCCGATTAAATTAGCTCATTTTGAAATTTCCCTTTTACCTATTTTTCTTATTATCAATCAGCTTCAAAGGGTTTAATTCTGTCGGGAGTTCAAATAATCCATATAGCTTAGTTTACTATATTCATACAAAAAATAAAAAGCCGAGAAATTCATCTTCTAGCTTTGATGCTAAGCTGCATGCTTGTTTCTTTTTTTTCTTTTTAGATAATGCAAAATTAAAACTATTTATTTTATGTTTGGCGACATCCGCAATGACAGAGGCAATCAGCTGTCATCTCCACAGAAGAGAATATTTCTCAAATTTTATAATAATGGTCATAAGTTCAGAACTATCAAGAAACCAAAAAGAGGAAATTCGGATATTCCACTGACCACCTTCTACAGGATTTTTGCTCGCCAAAATCAAGAAAGAGTACTAGAAACCAAAAAGAAAAAAAAATCGATTTGAAGCAAAAAGACCCTCGAGACAGAAGACAACCGGTCAAAATGGCTTCGACTGACAGGATGCTGACAATCACTTCTTTGTTCAAGAATTTCACTTTCAGTAAAAGAAAAAAATGTCTCCAGACATACTATCATGAGATCTCTCAAAGAATTTGTCATTTCCACTAGGGTTTATACAACAATGACTCTCTTCCTCTCTCTTTCTCATATATATATATATATATATATATATATATATATATATATATATATATATATATATATATATCATACAGAAGTGTCATTTGATAAAGTGCACTGAATTATATCTTTCAGACCTGAAATCAATAAAAGCTAAAGAAAATTACTCAAACAGCAATTTTGTCAATATATATAAAAGTTTCACTTACTACAACAGTCGATGGATAATATAAATCTCCATTGGTGTTGACGTAGTTTTCTTGAGAGAAAAAAAAGTAAATGTTCCAGTCTATGTTTCTCGAACAGAACAGGGATGAATCAGCATCTGAGAAGAGAAGAGGAAAAATAATAAAGACCTGATCAAACCACAGTGGCCGGATGTGGTAAAGGCCGGTTTAAATTGGGGTACCCAAGTATGTGAACATGAGCCGAGGCCCCAAATTTCCTGCCCACCCCCACCTCCGGCAACCAACGTCGCGATGGAGTCGATATTCCACCAGTTTTTGCAATGAGCGAGATACTACCGCAGTCATCCGTTATTTATTTTTCACGCTCTCTACGAAGACAAAGACACGACAAAGATATAAAAAATATAGCTTCCAAACCCAAAAGGTGATTTACTAAGAGAAACTTATATGTGGCACAAGGCAGTGAATATGGAGCACCCAGTGAGAATCAAAGTCACTACTCAGTTGTAACTGATTTAGCGAGACATGTTTGCTAATCATTAAGCCACATTGAAATGCCCTTTGGTCATCATACCAGGTCCAATTTTCTACTCTGGACACAGGTACATGAAGCTGATCATAAGATTAATTGCTCGATTTGTTTTATACGGCTTATCAACCATTTGCAGGTTATTTAAATCCAGACAACATAGTCGGGGGAGAGAAGAATTGGATTCATGCCTTTCCCAAGAGTATTTGCGTGAATATAACAAACCCAACTGGAATTGCAACTCAGTTCTCCGATTAACAATTCCGAGCCCTTATCATTAAACCACCCGCACCCCGAGGTTACAAACGGTCACCCATCTAAGTACTGATTAGGTTGGGCGTTGCTTAACTTCGGAGACCGTACGGGAACTGGTTTTTCAACATGATGTGGCCGTAAGCTGATCATATGTGAAACATTTTCATGATTTTCTAATGTTTGTATTAATAATAAAAATGAATTCAGCAAACTAAGATTTTTTCACCTGTTTAAATAATTCGGTATAGATGTAAGAAAATTTAATTAAACAGATTATTTTGATAATTACATAAATTTTTTCTACTCTGTTCGACTAATTAGGATTGATGGGAAATATCAGACAAACAACAATTTATATTATTGCGAGCACTGTCGGTTTTATAACTTACGACTGAATTTAGACAAAGCGGATATAAATTCTTTCTATTGACAAACGATAAATTAAAAAAAAACTTTATTGACAGAAACATTGTTTATAAACGAAATTATTTAAAATATGAATTAACAATAAATAACACAGGTGTAATATTTATTGAAATATGCTTATAAAAATTTTCATGCAAATTAAATGTTACTACTTATGTTACTGAGTAGCGAGTTCGATACTCACTGGGTGTTCCTTACTTTCGGCTATGCTTAATAAAACGCAATCTACACACAAGCAATTTGACATGGTGTAATTGTGAGCAAGTTTGTCAATTACGGCTGAGTATTGAGTCCAATTCTCACTGAATGTTCCATATTTTCGATCTTGTGCAACATCTATGCTACGCTGAATAAATCACGACAAACAAGACGGATGTTAAATCTTTCTATCAGTATGGTCAGTGCTATTTTGTTCTACTGATACTGGACCATAAAAATCCTGAAAACAAAGAAATTATGCACAAAAACATCTTTAAAAATAGTAAATATGCGAACAGCACAATGCTTTATAAGTATATCTGGGAAATTAAAAACATAACGCACATCACACCAAAAATATGTTGGAAAATAAGGAAAAGATCATCGGCCTACAACAACCAATCAAAAATTTGCAAACTTTGATGGGAGGAAAAAATAACTATCATTTCCTTCCGAGACCAAAATAAATTATTAAATCCGAGCTCATCTCAAAATGCAGACATGAAAACAAATTTTTATTATGTTACTTAAAAATCGAAAACTGAAAAAAATAAAATAAAAAATAAAATAAATAAAGAAAGAAAATGACAATAAAATAAGTAAAATAAATTAAACCAAACAAATTACCAAATCACACCCGTTAGAATAGACGAAATAGAAAAAATAAATAAAAAATAAAAAACAAAATCAATGAACCCAAATAAAGTAAAAAATAAACAAATTGACAAACCATTATGACCAAATATTAGGTAGACTGTAAAAACCAACCAAAAACCGGACGAAAAACATAGCTATAACTATTATATAACGATAAAAAAATAAAAATACTATGTTATTTAAAAATCGAAAACCGAATAAGTGAATAAAAATATACAGTAAAATAAATAATAAAAAAACAAGCAAAATAAATTAATCGAAATAATCCAAATAAATAAACAAACTAACAAACGGATCCCGATAAATAAACCGTTAGAAAAAACAAATAAAGATAATCAATCCAAATAAATACATGAAGTAATAAATAAATTAAAAAGTGCTCCCGCCAAAATAATAGTTAGAATAAACTACAACAATCAAACCCAAAACTGAATAAATAGCTTTATCTTCTTAAACCAAAACAAAACTATTAAATAAGCGATATAAACAAATTTTACTACGTTAATAAAAAAAAAAAAAAAATAATAATGACAAGCAAAATAATTTAACCCAAATAAATAAACAAACAAATAAACGACTTCCGGTAAAATAACCGCCAAAATAGATTACCCACAATGCACCACTGACCCATATATATAAATAGCCGAGAAAAATAACAGCACTCGTAGCCTGACGATTGCGTCTAGTATGAAACAGACTGTCGCCTCTAAGTGGTGACTTCAACGTTCACTTATATATATATATATATATATATATATATATATATTAGAATATATATATGTGTATCTATCTATCTATCTATCTATCTATCTATCTATCTATCTATATATATATATATATATATATATATATATATATATATATATATATGTGTGGATGTGTGTGTGCGTCTACGTATGTTACATCCAGTGAACGATAAAAAGGTTACTGCATTGTTATGTACTATCTGTCATCTTGTGTCACAGATGAAGAAGTAACAAGCCAATAGAAAGAAGAATGTTGAGAATGCCACTGACCGGACGTGTGATCATAGTTTTAAGGAAAATGGAAAGAAAATGATGCTTATTCGTAGCATCAGAAAGATACAGTCTGAGATTTCTATGGCATTTCATGAAGAAAGATGTCTTGGAGAATTTGAAACTCGCAGGACCGATTGGAGACGAAAAAAGGACGGACTAAAGTAGCGTATAACATACCTAACGAATTTGTGTAATTGGTTGGCAGAACGAGTAGATATAGAGAAAGTACAAACTTTACTAAAGGATACAAAGAACAGGAAATTAGTGCCAGCTATGATCATCCACGTCCTGAAGGGACATGTCACATAGAAGAAGTAAAATGATATACTCACATATGCTACACATTTCTGCATATCGGTAATCATACGGAATCAGTCGGTTAGTCTGATGAACCTATCGACTCTCCTGTGGAATAAAAGGGGCCAAAGTCTCACTAGACTGGGAGTTGCTGCTGTAGTTTTCATAGTTGGTAGGTAGAGTTACTAGCTACACGCTCAATGTGGTTTTCAATTCAGAAAAATTAAAATAAACACGTAAATTAGTGGTTATCGTCTCGGAAAGAGGGATCCGTCGAGTCTGTTGCGTTCTGTCTGGGAGAAAAAAAAATTAGGATTTCAAAGCCGGGTGGGTGTGGAATTATCCAGTCCACCTCTTGAAAACCTACTTGCTACAAAAACTACAGCAGCACCACCTAGTGCGATGCATCTGTAGCCCGGGAACTCTGCAGGGTTAACACACACAAATATACATACATACATAGATTTTCTTTTTTTTTCTAGAATTGGTGAGTTGAGATTGTATTCCGACCAAGGTAGCTGCACTCATTTTCACTCAAATTCCCCTGAGAAAGTTATGAATTCATCTCTTCTCTTCGACAGTTTGCATGATTTTTTATACTAATATTCATTCAATACAAGGCCAATGAGCCATTCAAAGTAGAGTAGCGAGAGGCTCGCGACGTTTCACCTTGGTATTTCCATAAACAAAAAGAAAGAGCTTACTAATCACTGCGTTCTGGTGAGGCAAGGTAACTGTAAGCTCAGTATTCTTTTGTTTCGTGGCGTTCGTTGTATCGCCATGCCTTACAGCTACAAGTTTAAAATGCGTGGAAAAATTTTCTAACATTTAAGAACGCATTACTTTCCGCTCGCTTTAGGTTTAAATAAAATGTACATCTCTGTCTTAATCTAATCGATCGAGTTTCCAATAAACGGATTTCGATACTTCTCTATTAATTCTGAGGTTAAATTTAGTTTGTGAAAAAAAAAAAAAGACGAAGTTTGGAACATTTATAAGGTTTTTTTTCACATTTTTCCTTCTCTCTCTCTCTCTCTCTCTCTCTCTCTCTCTCTGTCATTTGGTGAGAGTTGGTAGGTAGGGTTGGGTTGACTTTATTTACATATTTTTTGGTAACGTTCTCTCGGAAAGAAACAAAGATTAATTAGTGCCAAGATTTCAGAGAAAGGATTTTAATTTTTTTTCTGCATTAGGGTTTCGAAACAAATGAAAATTTTATCGCTATTTTTTTTCAAATGTCTTTCTTTTATCGACATCATACTGGCTCCAAACCTTTACGAAGAAAAAGCTATAAATACTTTATTTAAAATGAAACATAAAATAGAAACAGATCCAGACAATGTTCGAACGTAATCCAACGCTTTGGCGCATGCGCTAAGAGTGATCTTCTGCTCTGCGTTACACCGATTTGCGCAAAAATGCAGACGGGTTCCTACTCATATGTAAGGTGAATTTGAATAAACTAATCAGTCTATGTATCTGTTAAAGTTAACCAGCGTTTTCCGTGTCTCGCTGAACACTTCAGACATTTCATTTAACCAGATAAAACAAAACAAAAAGGGGTGTGTTAAAAGGACGGATTTCACTTTATTACTGTATAATCCCTTCACTCCCTCGGCAAGATTTATTGTTTTTTAAAAAGCGTCGATTAGAATTTTAATAAATTCTAAACGTATGAACTATAAATTATACATTTTCATTCTCCTTGAGAATTTACAAAAAAAAAAAAAATTAAAAAAACTATGTTTTATTAGAGTGTTTATTTACAAGAAAAATTACATATTTACATTATAAAAATATATTTTTTAATCATTTCAGCTCAAGGAAGACAATGAAACCACTAAGAGGTTACTGATTGTGAAAGAATATATATATATAAAAAAAACATTACTAAGGAGCGAGAACAATAAATGAACAGTAAAGAAACAGTAGATAATGATAGACATTGTGTTTAAATTTTTGAAGATTAAAGTTGGCTGGAAAGGAAGAAGCCAGAAGAGAGTTCCAGAAACAATAAGCGCGACAGAAGAAAATGTTAGCATAAAACTTACGGTTACATCTAGCCATTCCATGTAAAAGGATGAAAATTTCTAATCAATCTATTACTCTGATTAAATCCATAAAGTCTAGGTAAATTAGAGTAAAGTCCCTCAGAACAATTACCAACAAAGTATTTATAGAAAAGGCACAGGAAAGCTAGATTATGGCGACGGGAAATTGACTGAGGCCGAAACGCCTGGTCAGGAACAATAACATTGCAGATTTTTCTTTGGATTTTATCAAAGATCTGTAAATATATAGTAGGACCACTGGACCATATGTGGCAGCAATATAAATATTCAAGATAGATTAGGGCGAGAAAAATATTGTCTAGCAGGACACATTGAATCCTAGCAGTAAATCTAACAATTGATTAAATATAACCCTTCCTCGTCAATTCAGCAGAAAGGGATCTCTCAGACAATTAATAGAGAGCAGTTTCGTTTTGAAGGTGTTGATATTAACAAGCCATTCCTTGCCCCAGTTAACATCAGATTGTATGTC